GATTTTTGTAGAAAAAAATGTTGGCGAGTGGCAACCATGCTGCCCAGTCCAGTGTGCGTTCGAGTGGTGGACTGCTCAGTCCGACTGAGCAGGCTAGTGTGCGGAGGCCCACTATTTTGTACTTAATAAATTTGCGTATCACTGAAAGAAGCGGTGAGAAATAAACGGAACGACACATTGTTTAAAAATAAAGCGCAATTTCTGCAAAAAAAAAAATCGCCAAAAATCGCCAATTTTTTTTTTAAATAAAATTCATGAAATCGATTTAACAAATCTTTTCTTTTAAAAATTAGATCTTGTTATCATATAGTTTTTAAAACCAAAAACGAATATAATACCTTCAGAAGGTAATTATGAATAACACAAATCGCTTATATAATAGTGATGTACAAACAATTTTCTTTACAAATACGCATACTTTTTAAAAATATTTGTTTCAACACATTTTGCAATAGGACTGCGCAGTTATTAAATTTATTATTCATATTAATTGATTAATCGCATAATCCGCTGTTAAGAGCTCGGCGCTAAAAATAAAATAGAAACCTATGATAAGGCGAGATCAGCTATTTCCACAATTTCTTCAAAATCACCTATAGTGTCTGAATCATTTACATTTCTGTTGTTGTCATATATTGATCTATTCAACCTTGATAACATACTGTTTGATATTGGCAACGTTTTGCAGCAGAAACTATTAGCCTTCATATAAAACTTTATTCGAACTATTGGATTAGGCTTTCCAACCTCATCCTATTTCGAAACATAGTTTTTGTTGAATTCATTACCGAAAAAACGCGCTCAACAAAAGCATGTGAGCGCGGCAAGGATAATATGAAGGCTATTTTACTTACATATATTTCCAAACATTTTATTGCCTGTTGCGGTTTTCACTCCGTAAGCAATTATCCAAATTTCTTCAGAGTCGGATGGAATGGTTCTGAAAAAAGTTATTCCATGGGAAAGTTAAAAGATTTAAATATTCAGTTTCCGCTGCTTTGCTTTCCTTCAAAGTCAAATAGTGAATTGGCACGTCACTGAAACTCGCTCTCTTGTGATTCACACACCTTTCCGGTGACAAAATCAAAGCTTTTTGAAAGTATTTAATTGACTAGGTAAGTAATCGTTTCAAAAGTTCTTCGATTAGAGTGATTAAACATTTTTGACAGCATATTAGCTTCTTAAGTCAAGTTTATCACGCAGTTCATTAGCCTCTTCCGTAAAATTATCGTGGAAAACTAAGTTTTATATATTTTTATAATTGGAAAGAATTTATTTGAAGGGAAAAAATCGCCAAAAATCGCCAATGGCGATTTCATAAATTCTTACGCGCAAATATCAAAAAAAAAATCGCCAAATTGGCGCGAAATCGCCAAATCTGGACACTATGGTGGTAGTGCCCACCTCTGATCATAAGGTCTAAGTGACATTTTTTGAAAATATAACATATTTTGAATTAAATAGTTAATTAACCTGCATTCATTTAGGCAAGAATTATTTCAAATGAATTTACCCAGAATTTACAATAAGTAATGAACTTTAACTTTAATCATCTGAAAACAATGTCAGACCTACTTAAATCCTTTTGATTCTAACCCCTTCATATATTTCAATGCTTAGTGCCCCTAAATAAGTCTTATAGAACACTTTTTAGCGGAGTCCTTTCTGCGTGTAAACTAGTGTAATTAATGAATTTCTAATGTATCTATTTTTATGTTTTCTTTTTACGAGTTTTAAGCTCAGAATGTTTGTTTGGAATGAAAACTGTATGTGCCTATGTACCTAAACAAATACAATTTTGGAAATTCGTTCTAAAATGGAAAATAAATAAAATGTTAAATCGATGAATAATGAAACTAGCCTTAGCCTTAGCTTTAAAAATTGTTATTTAGCCCTTTCTAGTCGATTTTTCTTGAGATTCTAGCCCTAAATGGATATTTATTGAATCTCGCATAGTTCGACAATCGCTCAAAATATGCTCACTATGATAAGTGCAAAGGAACGCTGCAAAAATAGAAGGACGCCATGTCTAGACCGTTAAATCACATCCTTTGGCCTTAAAGTTATAATTCTACTGGCAACTTTACACATATTTTAATTTTCTGTAGAATCAAGCTAGCCTTGGCTTTTTTCTGGAAGGGGTGAAATTCAGCTGTTTTGTCACTGCTCGCGTTGGTGTGCATAACAGTCCATAAACGCAGAATCCAATTTAGTGTTTTCAAATGCGGGTTCAATTTGAAATAACCATAAATTAAGCATTTAAACCTATCCAAAATAAAGGAAGATACAAAATGATTTATTCAAATAGAAAGTCAAACTAACTTTAAATTAACCGTGAAGATGTTTCGCGAATACAGTGGATAAGCCAAAGGATAATTGGATGTGTAACCATCACATCTTTAGTAGATTCTTTTCCGAAATAAAAAAAAAACATCAATTAGGCATTTTTCTTACTATGAGTGGTAACGATTTATGCAGGAAACTCTAAAGCGTAGTACTCGTATAGTCGATAATAATCACCAGGGGAGAAATCCGGCAACGTAGGCCTATGTATGCCTGAATAATATACACCGAAAATTCAGGCAATCACTGGTTAATCTTACTTCCTCATGGCACCTGGATCTATGCTGGGGTTACATCAGTTTGGTTTAGGAAATACATACTGAGTCATAACTTTAAAATGTATAAAATCACAGTTACATATTGTAATGAATATAATATGAATAGATACGCATAAGACAAATTATCAATCGAAACGAAGTTAAATGGCCGGAGGCATTAAGCAGAGTTTACCATTTCAACTTGGAATCGAGAGTATTTTTTGCAATCTTGGAATAGGCTTATTGATGCCATTAAGAGTTAAGAATTTCACTCCAAGCCAATATTGTGAACAGAAATACGTAACTACATATTTAATTTTTATGCAATGCTCATATAAAACTTTAGCGAGTACCTTTAGTTTCTCCCAGAACCAACGATCGGAACTAAGCCAAATTAGTATGACACCAACCTCGAGATACCACCTTTACGATAAAAAAAAAACTATTCCCCCGAATTGATAACCTCCTCCTTTCTTTGAAGTCGGTTAAAAAATAACTCTCAACTCCCAAGCTGTCATTGTAAACGCTGACTTATAAATTCAAAATGAATGTAAGCGCAGAAGACAGTGAGCTGAAGTTCAATAAATTACTCTGAAAATTTAGTCAGAGCATAAGCTCACTAACTTATTTAGTGGCATACCAACAGAAGGTTCACTTGAAAAAGTTTGAAAAAAAAAATAACTTTCAGGGTAAATGTGTCCCTGTTGTGTGTGTTTGTGTTTGAATGTTATTTCTAGGATTGTTGAACTTCTTTATTAACTAATTATCTGTTCGATTATCTACTGTTTAAAGGCAGAATTTATTATATGTATATCCTGGTGAAGGTTTAAGAAGTAGTTTTTTTTGTTTGGTTCGTGTTTGTGATGAGCCAAAAGTTAATTATTAGAATGAAACAAGTAGGTAATATAGGTAGATAAAAATGAGTACAAAATTTAGCAATATTTTGGGTTATTTTAAGTAAAAAAGCAAACAATTTATGTAATAGTTAATATATTATCTTGATTTCGAAAATCCAATACTATTAAAGATATAAATTTGAAACATATAGCGCTTAAACAAAAAGTAGATGCGAGCCAATAGAGAAAAAAACGTCTAAATATAAGTATGTGTGTATTTCCTTCAAACTTGATTAGCTGGAAGGCTCGAAAGTTTCGAACTTTTTCGAAGAATTCGAAACTTTTTCTAGTTCAAAAGACTATTCAGTGTTTTAAGGCAACATACCATATTTGAAAGAAACTACTCTATTTTAGAAAAATGTTGTTTTGTAATGATAATAAAGATTTTTGAGCAGAATGGAACCATATTTTGTGATTTCTAACTGAGTATACATATTTTTGCTATTTTAAAGCCCATGGGCACAAGTTATTATTTTTAAACAAATAGGGCTTATTTGAGGCAAAAATAATACGTTATATCAACACATATAACTTTCTGAGGAGATTATCTCGGCTAAATTTAGTTTGTTGAACTCCGTAAATAGTTGTTACTGCATACAAAAATTCCCCGAAGAGCTTTTGGAGAATCAGCTAAGGTGACAGTCCTTGGCCAGATATAGATTTATAGATTGTTTCTTAAGAATAGGGAGTTTGAATATTAAAACGCACTGAAAGTTTTTAGGAAAAAATTATTCGAGAATACTATAAACGCTAGAAAGGTGAAAGTCACGAAACTCGGAAATACTTTTTCTTATGAAATTGGATCGTTTCGCAATAACTGTGATATATTTTCGAGATTTTCAAGACTAAATATTTTCAGCTTCAATGTATGCACTTAATACTTTAAACAATTTACTTCTTTTTCTTCTTAGTTAGCACGTCCACCGTTCGTCGTTTATGTCAAATCCTTATTTTTCATTACGGAATACAATTCGAACATTCATTTCCATTTTACATAAAAGTGTAATCGTATAGAAATTTTGTGTTTACGACATCAATGCTTAATAATTAAGATTTAAATTAGAGCATGATCAAATTATGATAAATTGAATGCCAAAATGGAGCGAAAAAAGTTATTAGCAAAAAATAGGCACCAAAAGATAATCAATCAAACGGTATTACGAATAGGTATATGTAGCGTTTAAAAAAAAAATTGTTACTTAATTTTTAGTTTGTTAGTCAAGTTAAGATAAAAAATAGTAAATACAAGTGGGGTAGGTGGCATAATATTCCAAATATAAAATAAAACCAAAATAGTTTGGTAATTTGTGGTAATGTATATAGTATTGTGGTAGTAATAGTGTCGCAAGTAGAATGCACATATCTATATGTACATACATATATTTAGTTAAGAACAAATGTATTTTTGTTTTTGTAGTTGTGGTAGTAGCAGTAGTAGTAGTAGTAGTAGTATTACATAGTAGTAGTGGTAGTAAACAAATGTGAACAAGACACATTTTCGAACCTGAGCTCATTGCATAATAAAAATCACGCCACTCATCCAACCACACTTCGGCCACACGCGCCGCATTGTGCAGCACAATTTTGGCCACACCGCCAGGGAATGTATAAGGCGATTTATCACGGAAGACATGACCCACATGTGAACAAGGTATTATTTCTAAAATGCCGCCACATTGCCATATCTAGAGTGTAGTAGTATAAAATTTGAATTTTTTAACAATGCCAATATAAAATAAGCAAAATAATAATACAAAAAATATATAATTTCATTTCAAAATTCAATAAAGCGACGCGCTTAACGGCTGCATTTACAAATACAAATAATACTTAGTTATTCTTCTGCTTTGCATTGACTAATTCAGCATATTTTCTTTTACTGGAAATTAAGCCTTTCGTATTTTATTTGATGTTTTATGATACGCCTACGCCTTAAATAGTTTTGTTACTTACCCGGAAGGACATTTCTAAATTTTCACCACCCCATATATCCATGCCCTCGTCGTAGGAGCCAATTTCATAGAAATAATCTTTATCGATCGAAAATAGTCCACCCGCCATGGTGGGCGTACGCAGCGGCGCTGTACGATCATTATTGCGACGCTCCATTTCACGTTGAGGAACACGATACCTGGAAAGAGGAAATGAAATTGTTTTTGAATATAGTTGAAATAAGTGGTAATACTCGTATATAGCAGTCACGGGACAGGTTGTGGCGAATTTTATTTTTTCTTAAGCGTTACATGCTTACGATATATTATTTAGTTGTAAATGACTTGCGCTGAAGCGGCCGTAATGGGAGCGAAAAGCCTAAACGCTAAGCAGACATTACCTCGAATGGCATATTTGGGCACTAGATAGGCACATAAGCCAAGCTCTTTAAATACTGTTTAGCATTTTATATGGACAGTGACATAGTAAAATCACTTTTCGGAAAACACTGGTCTATAGGATGACGAAATTTATTTGGAATCTAAGCCTATTAGCTTTAACGGCATATCTACTACGATCAAGAATCAAGAACTGCCACAAGTCGAATAACTAATAACGCTTTCCAATCTGTATCTAGCCACACACTCCAGCCCACACATCTGGCAAGTAAGGGAGAGAAGCGAAGAACTACAGCCAATTTGAGGGATGAATTCTGCAAAAATAAATAAACTTTCTGTGTGAACGACAATCGTTAGTTCATGCTGCGCAGAATTAAACAAACAAGAACGCCTTCAATACAACGTACTCTCACCGCCGATTTTAACCTCTAAATGACCGACTCCCACCGTCACCCGCCGCAGTCAACTTATTGAGCTATGCACACGATTGTACAACCATGGAGCTAGACCCAACCCAAGATCTTGAGAATACGGATCGATAGCTTTTCTCTTCTTCAACGCAGAAACAAGTCCTCAAGTCACTAACCTGGCGACGGACCAGACGATCGGTGGATCGGTGGTTAATTATTGTTGGCAGGGATAAGCGAATCGCAGTGGAGAAATCGTCAAATTTGTCAACTTATACTGGCATTCAATAGTGGTGTTTTCTTTTAAATATTAACAATGTTTTTCAAGCTAAAAATATAGTTCATACTTTAACAAAAACCATATATGTATGTAAATCAAATTTTCAAATTTTGTGCAGAATTTAGAAAACACCCACAAATTTTTATCTAAACTTTAAGCATTTTAATCAGAATTTTTATAAAATTTTTGGATTTTTTTTGTTTGATGACGGCGTTTTGCACTTTTTTCCATATAACCATGAATTTCTTGTGGAATATGCACAAGACCGCTTGCGGGAAAAAATTTAAAAAATCAACGCCAGTTTTCCTAAACTGCCCTATTTATATGAAAAAAACCGCAAAAGCCCTTAGCAAAAAAAAAAAATTAATGCTAATTTTATGCCAATCAAAACTTGCAGTTTTTTTTTACTAAAATTTTATAAATCTTGTAATTGCATACACAAAAATTTTATAAAAATTCTGATTAAAAAGCTCAAAATTTCGATAATTTCTTTTGGAATTTTTCTAAATTTTGATTAAAAATCTCAAAATTTGTATGTAAATTTGTTGAATTTTTTCTAAATTCTGTATATATGTAGTTTGAAAGTTTTCTTTATATGTTTCTTTTTACGCATGAACTATATTTTCAATAAAAAATTAAAAAAAATTTTAGCTTGAAAAAAATTCAGGCCGATTCTGAACAGAAACTCCCTGGGAGTTTTCTCTCTTTTCCCTTTCCTCCTATCATGAGTAAAAATTCCCTGAGGATTTTTTATTTTAAATGGCGAGTTGAGCGGTCAAAAAAGTGTCAAACAGCTCTTTCGAAGTTCGAACAAATTTTCGGGGAAAATGCTACTCCTTGGGAGTTAATTATTGGAGGATTTCTTTCTCGGGAGAAACAAATTCCCAGAGAGCAAACTCCCCGGGAGTATTAAGAATTGGGCTGATTGTAAATATTAACAAATAATTTTTAAGCAAAAACCAAAACCGACTTCAATTCTTATATAAAAATTTAAGATTATCGTTAATTTCTTCATGATCCAATGATCGGATTTTAACCAAATTAGTATGGGACCACCTGTTTGCTTTAAAAAAAAATAATTATAGAAATCGGTTGACGGGTATGCGGTAACATACATACAAAAAAAAAATATTCCGGCGAACTGATAACCTTCTTCTTTTTGTGAAGTCGGTTAAAAACAAAAAAACCATTAATCCTCTTTTTACCACCAGTGTATGTCACCACGACAAAAGTCAGATGCTAATGAAAGAACACAAAGCCATGCTATCGAAGCAGCTCCCCATAGTTGTGGAGAATCATGCCCACAACGCTTTGCTTCGAAATGGTCTGCCCTCTCGAGATGGTACCTGGCGCAAGGACGTTCGCCGCCGCTAGGCAGCATTGAAAAAGCAGCTCCGTTACGGGTGATTTCAACAACTATCTTTCTATGCTAAACATAGAAGGGGCAACCACCTCGTTGGGTTCATTTCCATCCCGACGACCGTGGCAACGAAAGCACTACGAATTGCGGCCGTTTTTTTTTGCTCGGGCAGATCATCAAGTGAACACTACTTTAAGAGGCCTCGACAGTTCCCACGACAGTCGGTAACCGGAACGACCTAGATTTATATCTGACCAAGGACTGTCACTCCAGCATCACTCGCCAAAACCTCTTTGGGGAATTTGTATGCTGTTACATCAACAAAAATAACCTTGTGATAATTTTATCGATCTATTTTAACAGATGACTGCCGATTAGAAATTTTTGAATATTTTAAAGTCGTAGAAAATGGTTACGAGCTGGCTTTATGTAAATATTAAAAATCTATGTCTGTATTCCTATTGCTTAACGAAGAAAAAGCGCGCCTAAAGGGCTCGTATTAAAGCATGCTGCATCCTCGGTATAATACAGTAACTTTCCAATACAGTAGCAACATTGTTGCCACTATCAGCCAACGTGCCACAACCAACACCAACACTATTTCACTTAACAATCATAACCTCATTTTCACGTTACCATCTAAAATTCAATTTCCAATTAAAACCGCCCCACGTCGAGTCCGAAGCAGTTATATATTCAAAGGTTTCATCAGAGATCACATCAATGATGGGACACACTACAGTGCGCCGATTTTGCACAATGCGCGCCAGCAACGGTTCCAGCCAACCCTCTGTGCACTCACAATGTGCGTCCAGGAATGTGATGACTTCACCCTACAAAAAAGCAGCAGGCAGGCAAGAAATAAAAACAGCAATATGTTAGCGCCAACAAAAACCATAACAAACAACAAAAAGGTTATTATCATTTATACCGTCACGTGTTCGGCGCCAAGCAGGCGGGCGCGTATGAGACCAGAACGCTTTTCTGTGCGCAGCACAAACGTATGCACCGGTAGTGTCGCCACATAATCCTCCAGTTTCTTACCTAGATAATCTGTGAGCGAAATGAATGCAAGTTTTAATTAAGTAAAAAATAATAATGTTTTACTTATTTACATACATAAATGTATTTTCCAGTGTCATCGATTTTTTTAGTTTTTGTTTTTTTTTTGCTTTTGATTTTAAATGTTTAATCACACTTACCACGCTCGCTGGCATCATCCACAAGAATAATCTCTTTGAGTAGCGTACGCGGTGAGCGATTGATGACACTCCAAACGGTGCGGAGTAGTGTTGACCACGCTTCATTGTGGAAAACTATCACAATTGAGGTTGTTGGCAGTTTCGATGCATAATGCTTCTTTTTGCAACTGTAAATATACAAGCGCATTTATTTGAGGTCAAAAGATAAATTCCATTTAAAAAGCCTTTCATATTAATATAGTATATGCATCTACATTAGGATGCCTCACTCTCCATAAAAAAAATCGGTTCTGTTTTTCCATCGGAATTATAAAACCTTATTATATTTTAAGACTTCTGCCAAAATATTTCGGAAAAATATTAAGATTTACGTGAACTGGACAGATTTGAAAATACATACCTGCAAAATTGATTTTTTGTATAAAATTCGTTTTTAATAAATTTTTTCCAAAAATCACCCAAGATAGAAGAAGACTGGTTAAAATTTTTTTTAATCTTATCAACGGAACAAAATAGTAAGATTTTTGTAGGTTTCAAATCAGTTCATCTCACCTAAATCTTAATATTTTTCCGATACTTATATTTTAGCGGAAGTCTTACAATATAATGAATAGTTTAATTCTTTTCGAAAACATGCAACTTTTTTTAGTGAGGCACCTTAATGTACATATGTACATACATACATACATACATAAAAAATACGGCTTAAAGCAAAGCTAATTAAAATTCATTCATTCGAGGTAGATACTCACTTTTCATGTCGCACATCGGTCAGCGAACGATTCAATGATATCATATCACTGGCTAGTAAATTGAATTGATTCTCTTTGAATTTCTCCTTCATAAGGTCCTTCATTTCCGATGGTATTCTTACTGGTTTACCCATTTCACCATGGTTGCCTTTCACCTCCTTTACCGTCGGTGCGGAATGCCATTTTTTTAATATCGTGCTGCGATATGTCATAGAAATACCGCCACCCGCAAAGCCACCTGGTCCTTTGCCACCACCACCACCAACAGCATCGCCATCCAAATTCTTTTCTGTGTTAATTTCACTGTCATCGACCATATTTTGCTCGTCGACAAGCTTTTGTGCATCGGGCACCTGTAAGAGAGGAAACAAGAGGATGAAGAATTGCTTGTGATGAGTTTTGTCGGAGTAAAGAGTGAAAATTTTTTTGTAATGGAGAAATTAAATTTAATAAAACATGCTCCTTTTTACATACATACATTATTCTCTTTTTTTTTGTGTCACAAACGTACATACTATGTATATAAGCATGTATATTACATCACCAACACCACTCACGGGATGGAACTTGCAATATTGCCCATTCACATGTTCAGTTATGCTTGCACAGTGTGCGTTGAGCTTTTAAAAGTTAAAGTCTAGAATTTAGCTATGGAATTGTAGAAATCGCTATGCTAAATGTTGATCACCAAAAATCTTTAAACGAATAACTAACTGCTGTGCCTAAAAGCTGGTGAATATTCCTCTCAAAAGTTGCCATATTTTTAGGCAAACCTATTATTTATTTAGAGAGCTATGTATAGCGATCTTATGTTCATTGCGCTATTCTCACGCCAATGGCAAAATTCATCGCATGCGTATTGTCTCAACTACTGCTCCTAAAACGATGCCGCAAAAACTCGAATTTTGATTTTAACCTTCCCGGTAGTCGGTCCGTTTCAGCAGTTATATGGTGTACGATCGGATTTCGTCGATTAGTTTACGAAGAAGTTCGATTTGGCTAAAACAAGTGTGTTTGAGTTGGTTTCTGCGGTAGCATTGCAGTAACAATTGCTTGGGGAGCATATGGTTTGCGCCTCACTTTAGATGTGGCGCTTCAGCATCATCAGAAGCCATGCCATTGCTGCCCATGGCCCGGCGTCCTGTTCTACTTGCTAGAACTCAACAGAAACGATGTCGAAGTTGTGACGCATGTGAATGAAATTATACTAGCATGTAGAGGTCCGTCCGAAATACACGAACGAGCCCTGGAAAGGTTACGTGCTTGGGCTAGTGGGTTAATTTTAATCTTGCGTGATTTTGATTCGCATTTTAGGCACCTTCGCCACTGTTCGTTTTCAGGCAGCCATGTCGTGCGCGCTTACTGCATGCAACAAATGACGTTTCTTTGATCAAAATACTACAATGTTTAGTTAAGTGTGTATGTATGTATGTAATGGAGACTTTCATGCACGAGTAGGTACTAAATATATGCACAGGCGTATGAGTAAATGCATAAATTTGTAGAGCATACTTTACTACGTTCACAGTTGGTCATCGGTCATATATGTACATATGTATGTACATACATATGTATTTAAGTACACATCCAATGACAGCCTTGTCGATGCCGGCACCGATGCCAAGTGTGTATGTGGAGCAGCTGGACGGCCGCTATATTCGCAAATACAATGCAGCTAGCAAATTTTCAAATAACCGTTGGCAGACCGAGAGGCGCAAGGTGGCGGCCATTCGTGCAGATGCATGAATGGGAAGCACCGCCATTAACAGAACAAGAGGGAGGCCGGGCA